CCTAGGATTTCATAACATATTTCTGAGTTACTTTGAAAACTAGTTGGTAGACATTTACCAGCACATTACTAATTTCGGGGGGTGGGGGGTGACCACAATTGCTAAAGTAGACACTGTTGGCTCCTCTCATTGCCCAGACTCTCTCTATTGGGCTGTTCACTCATCCCCCCAGCTGCTGTGAATACTGCCTGTAACAGCTCACAACTGAACCCCACTTCTTAGGTGAATTTATCTTATCTGATGAGAGCCATCTTATCCAGGAGGTTATGCCCATAACCCTCCTCCCCTCACCCCCAATTTCTGGGGATGATCTTCAGTCAATGACTGATTGATGTGGTGTACAAAATCTGACCCTCTTGCCTCAAGTAGGGACAACTGTGGTGCAATTTATGCTCCAGAGTCCCCTGCAGAACAGGCCAAGTCTAGACTTGCCCAGAGAATACATCTTTGCTCTTTCCCTGCCTTATCCAGCTTCTGTTACACCCCTTCCACCAAAAACAAGCCCATGCACCCAAGTCCTTGCCTCAGGCACTGCTTCCAGGATCTCCAACCTAAGATAACTTACTCTGTAACGTTTCTAAAAGACTACTTTGGGACTTTCTGGGGTGGTATCATGGTGTCTGTTCTCTAGTACATCCGAGTTTAGGGTTCCAGAACAACAACAAAAAAGTCAAATTGACTCTGGTAGCGTTGAGACAGAAAAATCTGTTGGCTAATTTCACTCAAGTCCCCTTGTTTGATATTTTAGCAAAATGAGTAGTTTCTTCTGTTTGACCTCTAGAATACATTTTCCTTGAAATTCTGAGTTATTCTGAACACTAGACTATATTCTCAAATGAGTAGCATGGTCTGAAATGTAAGAACTGAGCAATAACCCTGTTTTATTTTGTTTTGGTAGGGCCAGGCCCTGAGTATGCAGATGTCCTGTTTCTGGTGGACAGCTCTGATCACCTGGGAACTAAGTCATTCCCATTTGTGAGAACATTCATCAGCAAAATGATCAACAGTCTCCCCGTAGAGGCCAACAAATATCACGTGGCCCTGGCCCAGTACAGCAATGAGCTCCACAATGAAGTCGAACTGAGCACCTTCAAGAACAAGAACCCCATGCTGAACCACCTCAAGAACTTTGAGTTCCTTGGTGGGTCCCTGCGGATAGGAAACGCTCTCCAGGAGGCTCACAGGACCTATTTCTCTGCACCCACAAACAGGAGAGACAAGAAAATGTTTCCCTCCATTTTGGTGGTCCTGGCTTCAGCTGAGTCTGAAGATGATGTGGAAGAGGCTGCTAGGGCTCTGCAGAATGACGGGGTGAGAATCATCTCCGTGGGGGTGCAGAAAGCTTCGGAGGAAAACCTGAAGGCCATGGCCACGTCTCAGTTTCATTTCCACCTGCGGACGGTCAGAGACCTCAGCACTTTTTCCCAAAACATGATGCAGATCATCAAGGATGTAACTCGGTACAAGGAAGGAGAAATTGATGCTGATATAAAAAGTAAGAAAGCCCTTGGTTGAAGAGGTACTCACTTCTCGTGAGGATATGCATCCTTCCACCCTCATCTCTTTCAACTCCCATCCTGGTTTCCAAGATTTGTTGTTGTTGGTAGTTGCCATTGAGTTGATTCCAACTCATGGCAATACCATGTGTGTAGAGCGGAACTGCTCCACAGGGTTTTCAGAGGTGTGACCTTTTAGAAGCAGATTATCAAACCTATCTTCTGAGGCACCTCTGGATGAGTTCAAACAGCCAATCTTTGGCTAGTAGTTGAGAACATAACTGTTTGCACCATCCAGGGAATACATGGTTTCCAGGATTAAAAAAACCCAAAAACCAAACATACTGCCATTGAGTGGATTTCAACTCATAGCAATTAGCCATATTGAATTATTGGAAATGTCTACACATCATACCCTTCCTCACCTCTGCCTATGCTTATTCCATTTTCTTTGACAGAAATTCTCTTCCACTCCTTTGCCTTCTTACAGCCTGAATAACTCCTATCATTATTTAAATCTCAACCACAGAGTTGTATCCTCTTGGAAGCCTTTCCTTCCAAATTTGTTTTTGGGAGCCACAAGTCCCTGTGCACAACTCACAACAGTAGCACTTCCCACACTGTATAATTATCCAGTTCTGTGCTTGCCCTCCCTGCACCACCAATGAGCTGGTAGTGTCGTGAGGGCAGCATTGGCAACTCATATTTACTTCTGTGTTCCTAATGCTTAGCACAATGCCAGAGCCCTGGTGGCCCAGTGGTTAAGAGCTTGGCTACAAACCAAAAGCTCCTTGGAAACCCTATGGGGCAGTCCTACTGCGTCCTATAGGGTCACTATGAGTCGGAATTGACTCGATGACAGTGGGTTTGGGTTTTTGTTTTTTTTTTTTAGCACAATGCCTGCCAACAAGCTGGTGTTTAATTTCTTAATAAGTGAAAGTCTTACAGATAAAGAATTAAGATCCTTATCTGTTCTTCCCCTCGCAGTCTTGGCACAGTGGGAGGCATACAGTAAATATTC